AAAGTCGAATAAACTACGAAATCGTGTTTCAAAACTGAATCTAAACTTCCGATTTTCAGTGGAAATGCTTGACCCGGAAGTCAACATTATATTATGACCTTTATTTTAACATGGATATGTGGATTGGAATAGAATCTAAGCTAAAATTGAAGATCGGTTCTTGAGCCGCTGGGGGCGGCTTAGCGTACTGACTGCACTTTAGCCGTGCCGCCACCCATGGCTCGGCGTAGCGAATGAGTTAAATTTGATCTTTTCAGGGTTTTTGGAATTTGTTTAGTATTTTTAAAATGTGTTTTTTAAACGCTTGTATTCACGGGAGGTGGGTTCTTTCGCCTTGCTTAGGATCTAGGAATGGACTTCCCGTCCAGGCTTAGGGTGTAATGTGTTAATGCATGTATCTACTGAGAAAAATGAACAATATATGCTTTTGAACAGTTAAAGTGGAATGTATTCAGAATTAAATAAGCAATTCTGAAAACAATCAAAAGAGATTAGAAAATGATGTTAACAACTTGCATTTGAATCAAATAGTTGAAATCCTACCTATAAGACAGTGGTGGTGATGTGCGATCTCTTGGTCTCAGTCCCTCGTATAACTGCATAAACACTGTATTGTTGTAATCACTTGAGGCTGAAGGGTTTCCCCTGTGTTCCAAAGCTGCATGGCGGTTGATGTAAACAATCTTTCTGTCTGATGGGCTGGTTAAAAGAGAAGTTTCAAAAAGAGAATTATGTATGTGAAAGCGGTAACAATGACTAAATACATCATAAGAAATTAGATTATATTTATATATATATACAACTGAACCTATCCGAAAATGGTCATCTTAGACAGATGGTGGCCTGGGCAGCGTCATTATAATATAGTTAGAAAAAAAAGCAAAGGAAAAGTGTGAAGTGATAATTAGTACAGGCGACTGTCTTTGACAGGCAGTTGTTACAGCAGATTCTGCTGTACTTTTTAAAAATCCTCCATTAGTTAAAAAAAATTGGGCTTTCAAAATCTTTTGCAACACAAATAGTGGGGCCGCTTAGCAAACCTATTGTGCATTTTGTGATACAAGCACCAAACTTGGCACAAATGTACATTAACATGTTGAAATCATTTTCATATATTGGGCCACTCGGATTTCTCTCTTAATGGCCGCCATATTGGATTTCAAAATGGCCGCCATTTGAAATCTACTTTTGCGATTATCTCTGGGTCTAATGCTGCTATTGACTTCATTTTGGTATCTAAATATATGTTTTTGGGGTCAAGCAAGCCAATGGTAACAATCTGCATTGTGTAATTGTACTAATGGGTCGCCATATTGGGTTTCAAAATGGCTGCTTTACATTGCATGGCTGCTTCTCGATCTACATTCGTCGTTATCTTGTCGTCGTCACATGTTTGGAGAAGCCAAGCCCTTCACAGTGTGCCTTGGAGGATGCCAAGAAGAATTTGTTGCAACCGTTGCTGCTTGCCTTAGTCAACATGATCCTAGAGAGACCCAGCACCAAGGACCAGATGACAGACATTAACCCTGCAGCAATTACCGCAGCCTAGATACTGAAGTTCAACTGCGTAAAACACAAGCGAAAACGTGGCACCACATCATCCACTTGTGTCAGGCACAGTGTTTCACAGGAGACCCCACTTCCAACATACATTGAGATGATGTTACATGCTCATACACACAAGAAGGAATTGGTCGATAGACTGTCACACCTTGGCCTGAGCATCTCTTATGAAAGAGTGCAACAGCTCTCTGCAGAGATGGGCAACCATGTCTGCCAACAATTTTACAGAGAACAAGTGGTCTGACCTCCAAAAGTGCGTGGCGAAGAGTTCACAATTGCTGCTGTAGATAACATAGATCACAATCCTAGTGCAACAACATCAAAAGACTCCTTCCAAGGTGCCGCTATCTCCCTCGTGCAACATCCTTTTTACACTGGTGAAGGAGAAATCGGAGCATATTTGGTGCAGGAGAATCTGGGGATGCACGGCCCAAGACTGTCGCCCCCTTTGCCGCACTATTGTACTGATGTACCCCCTGTCACTACAGCATCAAGACGTCGCCTGTCCCAGCTGCTGGAGGTGCGTCTTTGACCAGAGGAGACTTCAAATAGTAGACTAATGAAGAATACCATTGGTTAGGCAATGCAAAACACGCTCTGGGAGACAACACTGTTACAGTGGACAATGAAAACACATCTTGGGCTGCATTTCATGTCAGCCGACAGCCACCAGAGGGTAGAGTCATCTGCCTCACGTCGCTGCTTCCACTCTTCCAGGAAAGTGCCCACACCGTGGCAATGATCAGGCATTCATTGGACGTTGTGAAATGAGCTGTAGAACACCTGAATCCTGGACAGACACCAGTGGTCACATTGGATCAGCCACTCTTTGATTTGGCCAAGCAGACACAGTGGAAGTGGCAAGAGAGTTATGGTGAAGACCATATGTGAGGCAGCGTGGTGGAATCAGGCTCTCGTCAAAATAATGAAATCGAAGAAAACAGCAGTTTTCTCCCTGCTTAGCAATTTTTATCAAATTTTTTATTTTGGCTCAACACCTTATATGTCCATTTAAAAACACATTCCTTTGAGGATTTCACCGAAAACGTTGATTAAAGGCGCAAAAATATAAATTTACAAGTTCTATGGACTCTCCATCTTTGGAATTTACCAAGCTTTGGCGGCCATTTTCTCGCTAATTTTACCTGTTAAATCAGGTGACCCTCACCTCCTTCAATCCAAAATATCTCCACTTCTATTGAAGATGGATGGGAAATTTTGTCATTGAAAGAACACAGCGGATAAAATACCGTCCAGACCGCTCACTTAGTTTTCCTTCCCCGGTTCCTCCCCGACCATCCTCACCACCCTGCCCGCCCCGCCCGACAGCCCAGCGCATAGTCATAAATCACTTGTCAGAGGGGTTAACTGGGGTGACCGCAGCGCCACTCCTCCTGTGCCGGGGCAGTAGTAAATATGGCGTTTTAGTGCGAATTGAAAGCCTCCTAACTCTGAAACTATAAATGCTACAAGGCCGATTGAGATTTCATTGTAACGTGCTATGTTTGACCTGTAGGCCGGTATAACTTGTTTTCTTGTAAGTCCGATTATATCAGTTTTACAAGGAATTTAAGTAAGTCTGTGATTTTCAAACTGGCATCTTCAATGTTTAGAACTTTTTCAGTTTGGATTTAGATATTTCAATCCGGCCCCCAACGATTTAAACAGAAATTCATGTATCAACTGTGGTGACAATTTTCATTTACATGTGCAAGTTTCAAATGCACGAAGTTATTCTATGATTTTCTGTGATTTTTTTAAAATACCAACCCACCACTCTGAACATTCATCCTTGCTGTTTTTAGTTTTCTTGCCTCTACTACATCTGAATTTCGTTGTCATTTTTAACAATATATTTGTCATGGAGTGCCACACTCAACATGATCATAGGGTGGGCATTGTGCTCAAATATCATCACCTTCTGGAGGAGGCTGCACATGATATAGATGTACAGCTGGTCCATGATATAGATGTACAGCTGGCACATGATATAGATGTACAGCTGGTCCATCAATCTATGGAGAATTGCACGCCTGGAATAGGACAAAATGTGCATATCTACGGCAAAAAAATGGAAGAGGGCTGGAAAAAAACGAGGAGGACATTCAATTGTTACAGGGCTGTCAGATTTTGTCGGATAATCCACGAGAAGCAGAAAGATTTGAGAGGAAGGGTTCTAGTGTACATGATCAGCTGTCAGAGGTAGAGTTTGAGGAGCTTATTCCAAGGTCAAGTCCTGCCTGCTCTGAATTTGATAACATCCTCAAACAACACAACATCACATCACAGGCCTACCACAGCCGTTCATTTATAGGAAGCCACTGCCATAAATACATCACAGCCCATGTGTACAGACAGCTAGCATCATTTTTAGCAAAAAGAACAGTTGCATGTACACGAAATCAAAGCATAATAGACACCGCATTAATTGTTCTGAGAGAGAAATTTGTTCACGTAAAAGACACCTTCAAAGATATCCACACAGTAATTGCACATGGAAAGCCAATCACTTTAGAGAGAATACCACATATTCAGTCATGCATCACACGATATATGTCTTTATACAGAAACATATTTGGCAAATAAAAGGTCTTGAGTCGATAGTGCCGTAAAACACGTGCTACTCAATCAAAATCGATCAAAAGAAAAGGTCATCCCCAAACAACACATCCTTGAGAAACACTGCGTTCCTTGGATACAAAAATGTGGGTTTGGAATGGCCTTCCATTGTGAGCAAGGGGGTGATCTCATTCATGCAACCGTGGCCTAACAGACAAAGAAAAACACGTCAAAACAATCATGCAGTCACAACACGTCCAAACCCACCCTGAGCTACTCTGTCGTGTGCACCACCCATCAAAAGACGAAAGCTTACAGCGGAAAAAGGAGATAATTCCTCCAGTCCAGCATTATTGTGTTCTTTTTGTATTTTGTGTTTAGGTTGTGTTTTCATAAGTGTATCGGCAAAAAAAAGATCTGTCCTGTAGTTACATGTATCGTGGATATCGCTATGAAAAAACAAGGTCGCAAAGCAAGAGTATTGCAAAAATCAACTTCAAACCTGAATAATTACGGATCCAGAAACTTCGTGCATATGGCCCTTTGTCAGTACAAATTTCATTATGTTCACAGTCCTGTGTGCAAATTTGATTGAATTCGTTGGGGGCAATCATATTTAAATCGATGTTTATAATTGATTACCCATGAAACATTTATCAAATTAAGTCCCCTTTTTGAGAACTTCACAGCTTTTAAGTGTAATGTACCATGTTCTTCCGATTTCTTCATTTTCTTCCTTAATATGTTGAATATTTACGTGGTCTTTATTAAAATATTAATCTTACATTAGCTTTGGCTCACTGTGCTGGTAAACTTTGCAAAAAATACAAGAGCGCTGCCGGTGTTCGGCTGATTAGGGAAATCCCCGGCGGCGCAGGTAAATGACCCCGTGACCTGGGGAAGCGCTGGCTTGCTTGCCTCGCGCCAGCCGAAACTAAATGGGCGCTCTATAACCGCTGTGAGAAAGACTAGTGAACAAGCTTTAAGATGATACCATTAACACAATATGCCCAAAAATTGACGAAAGCCTGATTCCACCACGCTGCCTCACATATAGAGGTGATGTTTGGTGGTCTCCACGTAGAGATGGCAGTACTGCAAATACTGGGGGACTGGCTGCAAAGGAGTGGTTGGGTGGCAAGCACTTGTGCAAGCCGAGATTTCGACAGCAAGGACAGTAGACTCATTCCTGCGAGCATCTCATGCCTTGCGCACAAGAAGAGCACATCAAGTGACTGCAGCAGCACTGTACATCTTGCAACACCATGCCTACAACCACTACTGTCTGGGAGAAACCAGGGATGCAGAGGACATTCCCGCGTTTGAAGACTGGTGACACCAGAGACGAGACAACATCTCCCAGTTTCGCTACTGGGCAGCTGTGCTGGAACAAGAGCTGTTGGTTCTAGTGTATATGCGTTCTCTCAGGCAGGGATCATTGATGATGTACCTCGATGCTCTGACAGAGTGGGTCACCTGGTTCCACGCACTAGATCATACAGACTATGTTAGGTGGATACCGGTGCACCTGAAGAACATCGCCGAACTCACTACCAAACACCCAGACGTAGCAAGGAAATTCAGTGAAGGCCATTTCACAGTTGAGAAAACACAGAGAGTGTTCTTTTTAATCCCGATTGACCAGGCACATGAGCAGAATAATGCCTGCATGAAAGGAAACGGTGGCGCGGTTGGGCTAACTGACAATCCTAGTGCCCTTCGTCGCTGGATGGTTTCAAGACCAGAAATTGCTAGGGTGATCGAAGTATTCCAGGAAGGGAACCAATACTGGAGACAGCAAGCAAGCAGCAGACACACGTCATCATGATCAGACGCCAAGTGTACATGCCTCATTTGTGGAAGATGTTCGCTGTCTCGTCGGTATCATAAAGGAGATGGGCAACCCATTCGAGGAGGAGAGTCAGGATCTAGTCATACTGGAGACAAAGGACATCGCAGGTGCTTCTACAGTGGAGACCGCGATGAAAGCCAAGAGCCGTCCGTGGCTTTCACCAGAGAGTCTGTTGGACAGAACAAAGGCAGTGGACGACCCCATTCCTCGTGACAAAGCTGAAGGTATTCCACTCCAAGAAACAATAGTAAATGTTAGAAACAGTTCGCCTCTGTTCAAAATGACCATGAACTCGTTGCACGCCTGTACATTGGCTGGCAGATGAGGGATGGAAACCTTGAGAAGTTCTTTCGTCACAAGAACCAAGCATGTCCTCCTGCACTGTCTGCTGGTGAAAACCTCTTCACTTGTACTAAGAATGATCTCATCACAGGCTTTGAAGAAATCTTCGACGCCAAGACAGAGACTCCTGTCACTAGCTGTATAGCTCTTAATGGAGCAGCCATCGCCCAGATTGGCTGCATTAAATTAAAGACATTTGAAGAGTATGCTCCTAAGATCTTCATCCCATATGGCAAGAAGACTGCGCGGGCAGTCTGGACGGTACTGCCAGAACTCACTGAGGCGCTGCTGCTGGTGTCCTCTGCACCACGTGCCATACCAAACGATGCAATGTTCATCATCAAGAGGTTCGTGATCCTGTTGTATGATCGAACCAGCAAATGCACGGACAATGACACGGCCAGGAGGAAACTCTTTGCAAGGAAGAACGATGTGCAGCTGATCCCTCCAAAGTAGGCAGCTTCAGAGGAACTTGTCAAGAGGGGGGTGTATTGAGGTGGAAATGTGTGGGGTCAGATGCTTTTGCCAGCACCAGAGCTCCCTCAACAAACAACTAGGGTTGGTCAATGACTGGAAAACAGTACACACCATACTGGACCAGGCTACCCGAGGCAGCTCACAGCTGCATTGAGCTGGTTTCTTGCAAGTGCCATTTATGGTGTGTGAGGCTCTGCAAATGCAAGAAGACAGCCCTCTGTGTGTGTGAAGGGGACTGCACAGTGTGATGAGTCCACAACATACATGTACTTGTGGCAGTGCTGAACTTGTTAACATGACACTGTTTATGTACATGCATCTTCAGTACCGATATCTACCTAGCCTCAGATACCAGACCTTTGAAGAATGTCAGTATACACCTAGCCTCAGAAATTAGACCACGTAGCATGTCAGAATTGTACATACGACATTTACAGACTTAAGACTTTTACACCCATTTAACAAGCTTTCAAAATACGAAGATCATTTTATAAAACAGAGTGTGAAAGATAACATTACATTGAAATTGGTGCCATTGGATTGTGCATTGAATTGTGCATTGGATTGTGCATTGAATTGTGCATTGGAATAGATTTGTGCATTAGTATTTTAGATTTGTGTCTTTGATTTAGAATTGTGCATTAGATTAAGCATTAGATTGTGAAATTGGTATCATAGGATTCCTTGGCCCCCAAAACATATATTTAGACACCAAAATGAAGTCAATAGCAGCATTTGACCCAGAGATACTCGCAAATGTAGATTTCAAATCCAATATGGCGGCCATAAAGAGAGAAATCCGAGTGGCCCAATATCTAAAAATGTTTGCAATATATTAATGTATATTTGTGCCAAATTTGGTGCTTGTATCACAAAATGCACAATCCGTAAAAAATTTTGGGCTAAACCGCCCCACTAAAAGTACACATACAAAGTAGCATCATATCAGCATATCATATTCTCTCTCTCTCACTCTGTATCGCTTTTCCCCCTTCCTTTCTCACTTATTCACTTACTCCACCCTCACTTCAAAAGATATACCATAGAAATGTATGGACAAACACAGGGGGGCATAAACATGAAATATGAGAATGATCACATCTTCTTAGAGAGAAAGTCACAATGTTTATGTAGCAGAAGATAAAATGTATCTCATATCTCTCTATTTTTAGATGTAGGTAGCGTAAAAACGGCCTTCCGACCACGTGGTATCGGTGAAATCAGGGTAACACCAGCTTTTCCTCGTTACAATGGTGTAAGTTGTTTATATGTCCAATTATTAGGAGCCGGAGAATCGCCGACGAAAGCGAAGCGCCTCGCGGTCGGAATGCGCGGTCGGCCGGTTGAAAAATTGACACGCGTGCATTCAAATGCTTCGCGGAACGAGGGATGATTAAATACCGTCTTTTCATTGGCGGAGAACTGTAAAGCTTTGAACTGGCTTTTCCATGGCATATTTTTGGCCTTTGGTGTCTAAATAGAAAGCTTTTAAAAATACTGTCAAAATGTTTAAAGATCACTTTTACACAAAATATGTAAAATACTGGCTTAAAAAAGGTATCAATTAAAAAATCAGTTCATTTTCTATTAGAATAAAATAATCAGCTTGGAATTATTTTTCATCAATCCTTCCACGAGACTCGGAAAGCATGTGACCCCCATGCGGGGTACACTACAGTATAGAGCCGACTCGCTCGCCGCGGGGGGGGCGGTGCGGCGCCGGCCGGGTCAGCGCTCGGTGTTTTTGTAGAAATAACGACAGATCATCGTGTTTGAGGCGATAAAATACTGATTTGTAAGGATCTCAGTCTTGAAAAAAATTAGGCTCCATATATTTGTTATAGTGATTGTACTCTGTTAATGTGGAGATGTTTAGTGCTCCCGGTACTCTTTTATTGTCTGTCAAACATGGGGTTGCAGCCAGTGACTGACTTTAACAAATTTGATCAAATTTTAAACAACTAGCTTACCACTTTCTTAAAAATTGACTGAGAGGTTAAAGAACGGTACCAAAATGCTCAGTGGATATAGGCCTTTCAAACGGTACAGATAAATTTGGCATACAGCTACTTTGAAAATTTAGTTTCTGGTACCTATTAGATGTATTGGCTCCCTTCTACCCTTTGAGAATTCCCAATAGTGTAAAATGAAGGTGCATAGTGTCAGTATATTTAGATTATTTTTGTTGCACTGTTTTCTCAAGATACAGTTGAGATTAAATGATGTGACACTTAAAGATTCTAGATGCAATGTAAAGACTTTATTGATTGTAACGTTTTCATTTTCGTTCTGTTTCCATCCCAGTCTGTTACATAAATAGGAGAAACAAATACAGACACATCCAAAGACATAGAGCACAGATAACAAATAAATAATAAAGAGATGCAACAGAGAGACAAAAAGAAACAGAATCCATGAGTGGCACTTTTCAAAAACAGGGAAGTATTTTCGAATATAGCAAAGAAGACTGCACAATATGAGGAAATATTTAACTAGTTTGTGCTGTTAAAAAATCTTCAAAGACAACATAAATAAAAAATTATCTGCTACACATGATCTTGCCTACACAATTTGGACAAGAAATATGAACAAATTGGCTATTTTTGGTGAGTACAAAACTATCCACATCAGCTGGAGAGTGGGAAGAAAGAAAAAAAAAGCATGAGTACTCAAAATAAAATTAAGTACATACTCTGAAGCAGAACCTTTGAGCAGGGTATCAATTAGAGCCATCCGCTTTTTTGATAACAGCAAGAGTTGACGAACACTCTGGAAACAGACAAAAGAACAAAGAAGGTAACTGAGTGTGTTAATTACACATCGCAATGATTAAAGCACCACGTCAAAAAATCAGTTTAAATTGTTATCTGGAGGTACAACTTTCAGAAAAAAAGAGAAGGAAAGTAGTGTATGACGAATAAAAAATAGTTGAAAACAGATAGTGGGAAAGTGAACTACAATTCGGGAAGAGGTAAAAGAAAAGAAAATACCACTCTATCTGATCTTGCAGACATTTGGTTTATGATGTAAAAAAACAAAACAAAACCAGGAACATTCACAGAATATGTGTATTAGTTAGTTTTAGTAGGGTTTTACGGAGCTCACAACTGCATAATGTCATATGAATGCCAAGGGGTGGATATCAACAGAGAAATCCTTACGGCGAATCAGGCTTATTCTGCTCACCTCTCTAGCTTCAACACAACAAAGTTTGCTTCGACTATCAAGGCACCCCGGATATAGCGGGTCTCAAGAAAGTGACAAACATACAAAAGAACAAGAGGAAAATTATGACAGTAAGGATTAGGAAAGAAAAAGCAGCAGTTCCCTGTTGCAGTTCAGGCACAGTTATGAGCATGACATTGCTGAATCAGCCCATTTACAATTCTACTGTGCATAAGAACAAGTTAATGCCCCCCCTTTGGGAATGGCGTAAAGGGGGGGGGGTCATATGCAGTGGTGTCGCGTGGGTTGCAGACATGGTGGTGCATAATTGGAAAGTGAGCAAATGGGCAAAAGGCTTACTAGCTATTATTAAAATTGTAATGAGCGGTTGGCGGGCGCTCTAGTGTGGTCTGTTCTTTCTATTGCTTTCTGCGAGTCTCTGTGTGTGTGTTTGTGTGTGTGTGTGTTTGTGTGTGTGTGTGTTTGTGTGTGTGTGTGTGTGAGAGAGAGAGAGAGAGATAG